ATTTCCACCGGACAGACGCCGCTTCCGAGCGGCGCAAGCAGAAGAGAGGCCGGGATCGTGTTCCGAAACTGTCGCTGCTGCGTGCGCCGGGTTCCCCCTTTGACCAAGCGCGCGGCCATTCCGCAGGCGCCGAAAACGGTCCCCTGTCTTTTTTGCGGCGATTGTGGTTCTTTTTTGCTTTCATCTTTCCCACATTCTTCGACGGCCACGCGCGCCAACAAGACAACCCCCGCCCTGGACTGCAGGATTGCGCGCCGCCCCGGGCAGATAGTTATCGAATGGCCTTTGGATGGTTTCCTAAGCCGCGATTCTGGCATTCGGGCTTTGAGTATGTGGTGAAAAATGGCGTTTTTGGAGCTATGCAATTACCCCCCGCCCCCCCCCCNAAAAAAAAAGGGGTGGCAGTGACCAAAGGCGGCTGCAACCCCAGATGGTCTTTTTTGAGTGGAAGCGTCTTGCTGACGAAACCGCGTTTCTGTCTCAGCGTTTACCCTGTCTGTTTTATGTGACCGGCAGCCGCTGCCTTTTTCAGACCGAACACTACAATTTGCACCACCGTGAAATTGAAGTCCAAAAAGTGAGGAGTATCCTTGCGCAGTGTGCTGCGCAGTTTTTTGGCAAACTGCGGGCATACATTGAATGGTAAAATAACATCGTTATGCAGTGCAAGACCTTCTGGCGTCGGAAAATTGCAGAATCTTTTCATTATGAGCCCACTCCGTTCCAGCGATAAGCAGGCCCAAATGTGCATTACAATGCGGCTAGCCCATCTTTCCAACGCCACGGTGTACAGGCCACGGGTCGGAGCGTGAATAACGCCGACTGCATTGACAGACGCTGAGGATTTTTAAAAAGCATCTTACGCGCGCGCTCTGTCACCCCCAGGAAAGCCACCAAAACCCACTGTGGATTATAAGCTCTATTTTGAAGATTTACCTGGCACCCCACGCCAAAGCGCCAAACCCTGATGCATCGGTTGCCGCGCGCCTTTCCCAATAAGGAAAAGCCTTCGCCTCTTGGTATTCAAGGTCGCCTGTGTCAAAAGATCATCTCTTTTGCGGGGCCCTTCAATAGCTTCCAGAGTATCCAGAATCCGCGCGCCGGCGGACGCTTCACCGTTCGAATCGCACCTAGCCACATTGAGGGCAACCCGCCCAATTGGAGACAATAGTCTGTTACCTTTTTTTTGTTCTGTTGTATTTGATGTTTCTGTTTTATGTTTTGTTGTTTTTGGTATTTTGTTCTCTGATTCGTTGTGCCGGTCCAGTGGGGAAACATGCGCTGGAGGATCGGTCGGCTCTGTGCTCTCAACTGGGC